TAGGGTCAAGTTCGCAAACAACGCATAATTTGTTTTTGGTGTTTTCCGTGGAATTAATCAAAAACTTATGGGAAAAAAATCACTTGTACAATTGGTTTTAATAACGAATGTTTCTATTACATCGACCTCAGGAGTAGACCTTCTACCAGGTGGCTCGCTTATTGACTTAGAATAAGCCGATGAAACAGTCCTACTTGGTGAAGATGCTGACAAAATGCAGAGTCTTCTGACTACCCTAAACAACAACGCAAGCATGTTCGGGATGCGGTTCTCACCCTCGAAATGCAAAATTTTGCTTCAAGATTGGGTTTCATCGGCACCTGAAGTAGTGATAGGGAGTGAAGTGGTCGAACATGTAGACCGATTCACTTATCTTGGGAGTCCCATCCGTGCTGATGACCTGGTGACTGACGAAATCTCAGTTCGGATACAGAAGGCTCGATTGACTTTTGCCAACCTGCGTCACTTATGGCGTAGACGAAATATCCGTTTGCTGACTAAAGGACGAGTATTAAATATTCCCATTGTGAAAATTAGAACAACACATATAAGCGAACAATATTGTTTTCGATTAGATCGTCATCAGGCTTTACTCTAATATACATGAATATTTATATGAAAATGTTAAACCAATCAAGGCAATTTGAGTGATAATCACAATGAAATGAAAAAGATTACGTAACTACATCTAATAGGCAAAAGTTCAAGTGGATAATAGGAAAACAGGTGTACTGATAGTAGTAAGAAAATTTATAAAATATGATAACTAAAGTAGGTCAAGGGTGGATGAATAGAATTCAAATAATCATCAAAAACATTACGGAATAAGCAGATGTGTAAAAATAATAAAAATAATAAAAAATAAAATTAAATTAAAATAAATAAAATATATATATAATGTCAATCGTTAGTTACGTCATATCCGGCCACGGAAGATATTGGGGGGTCACGAATTTCTTCTGAACACATAAATTAGGGTTGAATGTGCGTATTCCTTTGGCTTCTGCAATGTGTAGGACACGGGATCGAACTCCGTTGGGAAATGATGGAGGTATACGATAGATCACCCGAAAAGATCTAGATTTATCTACAATGTGACCACTATCTACCAGGTGTGCTAAGATAGAACTGCGTATTGTTTTTGACTGACCCTTTGTAAACCATGCTGGGAGATGTTCACTCATTCGTTGTGTAAGTTGCCTGGAAGTACGCCCGATATAGCTATCTCCACAGGAGCAGCTGAATTTGTAAATGCACATAGAGGAGGCCAACTCAGGTAACTTATCCTTCGTTTGGGTAGACATCGCTGGTCGACTGGAGAAAGTCAATGCAAGTTTGGCAGCGTTGAATGTTATACTAATTACTCTTACTAATCTGTCCTGCAGAGTATCGCAGGCCACATCTCCGTTGAATTGTAACTTTATAAATAAAGGTTTCTTTTGGGCGGTCGAAACCACCGACTTCTTTTTTACGGCAGACATATACTTCTTTATGAATGCGCTGGGATAACCAATCTCGGTTAGTGAGCCGTTGATAAATTCCAGCTCCTGACTTAACGTATCCACTGAACATATCATATTTGCTCTGTTAGTGAGGCATCTCACCCAAAAGAAACCTTTATATATAAAGTTACAATTCAACGGGGATGTGGCCTGCGATACTCTGCAGGACAGATTAGTAAGAGTAATTAGTAGAACATTCAACGCTGCCAAACTTGCATTGACTTTCTCTAGTCGACCAGCGATGTCTACCCAAACGAAGGATAAGTTACCTGAGTTGGCCTCCTCTATGTGCATTTAAAAATTCAGCTGCTCCTGTGGAGATAGCTATATCGGGCGTACTTCCAGGCAACTTACACAACGAATGAGTGAACATCTCCCAGCATGGTTTACAAAGGGTCAGTCAAAAACAATACGCAGTTCTATCTTAGCACACCTGGTAGATAGTGGTCACATTGTAGATAAATCTAGATCTTTTCGGGTGATATATCGTATACCTCCATCATTTCCGAACGGAGTTCGATCCCGTCTCCTACACATTGCAGAAGCCATAGGAATACGTACATTGAACCCTAATTTATTTGTTTAGAAGAAATTCTTGACACCCGTATCGCTTCCGTGGCCGGATTTGTAGTAACTAACGATTGACATTATACATATTTTATTTTTTTTTGATTTTATTTTTTTTATTATTTTTACACATCTGCATATTACATAATGTTTTTGACGTTTTTGATGATTATTTGAATTCTATTCATCCACCTTTGACCTACTTTAGTTATCATATTTTATAAATTTTCTTACTACTATCAGTACACCTGCTTTCCTATTATCCACTTGAACTTTTGCCTATTAGATGTAGTTACGTAATCTTTTTCATTTCATTGTGATTATCACTCAAATTGCCTTGAGTGGTTTAACAGTTTCATATAAATATTCATGTATATTAGAGTAAAGCCTGATGACGATCTAATCGAAAACAATATTGTTCGCTTATATGTGTTGTTCTAAAGGACGAGTGTATTGTACAGTACTTCGCTCCGTCTTACTTTATGGCTGTGAAACATGGCCAATGAGAGTAGAAGATATTCGTAGGTTACTGGTTTTAGATCATAGGTGTCTTCGAAGCATTGCTCGTATATCGTGGGACACGCGAGTGAGCAACGCTGTTATTAGGAAACGGGTGCTAGGTAAGAATGGCAGATCAATAGATGAAGTGCTGAAACTTGGGGAGACACAAGGACTGTGCGAAAAACGGAATAATACATGCAGCAAGTAAACTGTCAAACTCACGCTTGGCGGAAACTAAATTGTCCTGTGCCAGTCGGTGTTGTTTTAACGAGACTGGGCCTCTGCTGGTGACTATGTGGCTTACCAGATAATTATTCACCAATAGAATCTCTTTAGTTTAGTTACTTTGGAGAATTTATCAAATATAACATGAAATAAATAATCATGCATAAAATACAACAGCGATTCAGTTCACAAATGTTGGAGCGGCAAATCCTTTCGATATAATACTCGAAGAATTGTCGATTAACTGCACCCGAATCGAATAGCAATCCATAGGACTGTAGGGAATCGCTAACTTAAACGAATATGAGGAACACCAGCAGGGAAGAGCGTTCACATACACTGTCTTCGATTATTCCGGTTGACCACTAGCTGTCATGTACCGCAGGTAGATGGCATGAATTTCATACCATCATGAACCAGATAATAAAAAAATACATCATTTCTGCCTTACAATCCATCGTTCAATTTGAATGGTGATTATTTTAGTAGACCAACAAAACGTATCATATTTGGTGATCCTGTGAACTAAATACGGGCTATACAATTAACAGAACTAATTCATCACAGTCTAACATTCAGTCTTCTGGAATGTAATCGTATGTTTAACCTTACAAAAAGTATAAGCGAAATTTGGACTAATATGCGTTCGCTGGTAGTTAAAAAATCATGGTAAATTATTAAACAACCAATGTAAATTACCTTTAAATCAGTCACAAGTGGTTGGGTCATATGACAAGAAATGCGCACTTTGTCGACACACCTACTTCACTTGAATGTAATTCAATGTATCTACATTCACTATCTGTAAAGGACCGCATTCTACCACTAATGTCAGCTGATAAAGATTTCGGATCTTAATTTATACGAAGAATATAAGCGAAACACACATTCGAAGTAAAATCTGTGAGAATTCATCAAGCGACCAACTTAGTTGACTATTACACGGAGAATACTAGGATCAAGTCTGTAACAAATTTAATAAATAAGAAGTGACCTTTTTGATGGAAATCCATAACTCGTGATAGTACCAGCTGTTCAAAGTTTCTCAATACATAACGAAAGAAAATGTGAAGTGTAGACTGGAAAATCAGAATTCGGTTAAAACTGAAAGATTAAATTTTTCTTTCTTGTACCAACAAACATGTGGTACCTTTGGTTTTATTGTCGATAAACCCCAAATGCAGCCAGCTTTTGAATTCGATGAACAGTGTTAAGATGATAAATCTCAAATCAAACTTCAGCCATTTAATAATACCTATGGAAGAAGCATTTGAATTTACTGAACTCCTTAAACTGATTCTCAGACCATACTTTCAGTATTTATCCATCAGACGGTTGGATTGTTGAGTCTCTTTATTTACAGTGTTTCTTATTATCCCTTTATCACTGCTTGTCAAATGGTAACTGTTTATTCAGTTTTCCGCCATTTATTGAATTGTGTTCAACGTATGGTTTCTTAATTGTGATATGTTTTGGTCTTATGAGGATTTTGAGTATGAACATTAAGTATTTGAAATAAATAAACAGCAGAAAAACTGTTTAATTGTGCTCTGATGGAATGAAGAATTGGGTAGAACAGTTTATACTTTCTGAGCTATTTGGAGATAGGTGAAGATTCAACCTTCCAACCAAAGTGTTTTACATTTGAAAAGCTTAGGACGATAGCGATATCCGAAACAGTAAACGCTTACTTCAAAAATATATATCCAACTTTCTGAATGACGAATCCTTCCTCTGGATATCGACTGATATGTCATTCATGAGAGAAACGTCGTCAGAATTTTTGGTTTCAGTAGTGTTCCAAATAATAGGAAAAGTATGATGCTGAACACACAATTTATGCATCGCTTGTTTGGTTTCAATGTATACCACCTTCCGAATCTTAAGTAGTTTGAGTCTGCAATAACCAGCTAATTATATAAAGCCTAATGACAACATTTTCACATCTCTTGTTGTGTAAGATGTTGCTAAATAACGCTCCAGTCAAAACCGTAATGAATATGTGTATGAGATTTATCAGAAATCCCTGATTTCCCATAGCACTATCACCTTTTATGTAATCACCATTAATTGACAGCCATGATGCAACATTTGGACTAAACGGTTTCTCAGGCAAATAGCTATTTAGATGCAGAACTCACGTCCTTCCCGAGTACTCTAAAAGAACCAAGTTCAGTCCCTTAATCTACCATGGTTGTAACACTAATTCCAATTTTGGTGGGTGAGCATCAACTAAGAAGATCGTGGGTGCTATTTCGATATTTAATGTGTTCGGTGAAGTCAGTATATTCAAAAATAAATCAATGTTCTCTATCCATCAGTTCGCTGTTCTTCAATGTCCGCGAATACTTTGCCCTACTCGTTTTTCACTTATAGTTGTACAGTCATATATAACAGTATACTCTTCAATCCTTAGTACGGTTTCCCAACGAATAGGATCAGGTTCATCTCCCTCCAATAACATAAACTAAGCTAGGCATATGACTAGACGCATCTCCTCAATCTTTATTCTGTTCCTCTGGTCATCCTACTTATATATATTCCACGAAAACTCGATGCATTTGGTCAAAGTATCAACAATCATGTACACTGACTTCGGATTCAAAAGCTGTTCTTAACTGGTTTGTTACCGAACACGCTTAAACTTTGGTCCCCTCACTCAATATCAACTACCAATCAATTAACTTATTTATCCATTTATTTACTTAGTTCTCAAATCTCCTTGTTAGCATTACAATTTTTTCCTTATTCTCCACACTGCAACTAACTGACCCCCGACCTGTTAGTGTGATAATCGCTCGTATCCAGAAACCCTGCTTTCTTGGATTAAACGTGATCATTTAAATCACGGGACATACAAACTCACAAACAACTGCCAACCGACGAGAATTAGTGACTTCCAGTGGCTAGACTCACATACAGTGGACAATGACGAACAACTGGGACTGTACCGAAAGAACAAGAACCGAGAGCAAAAAAACCAAATGGGTAATATTAGGTCGTGAAAAAGATATTGGATATTGGATGTCAGCAGTGTTATTCGGTTAGGGATGCAAACCGCGGTCAATACAATCTTGGCGCTTTGTGGTTGCTTGAAGTCTGCGATATCTGGTAATTCTGCTAGTAGTTTTGCTTTCTTGGTTGGCTAAATCTGAAACTGGAATGCTGATTGTTTTTCTTAGTAAATCCAAGTGTATTTTGGCGCATTCTCAGTCGTCTCACCTCTCCTCGTTCCTAGTCTTCCTCACTCTCGCTACTCTGCATGCTCCTTCAGTCACTGGGTACCTTATGACTAGACACTAACCACTATACACGGTATTTAGGCTACTTTTTACCATCCCCTAGTTCGATTGTCAGATTGTTTTAGTGTAACTTGTGTTACTGATAATTATTGTCAGTCACTTCTCTTATAAAGTCAGTGGATTGTGTTTGCTAGCTGTCTTTAGCTCATTATATCCCCTTTCTAGCTTTGGAATCTTTCCCCACCTCCAGCACTCATTTTACCTTCGGGCTTAAAGGAACACCACATCTTTTAATGGTCATTCTGGCATGCAGATGTGATTGATATAACTAGCTTTGAACGCCGTGGACGCAAATCTTAACTGTGAATTTTGCTGGTTTTGTCTGCGTAGCGTCCGAAGCCCTAAAATAAAATAGATAACAAGATTCTGGCAAATGAAGTCGAAGTAATTTACTTCGAAGATCAAAAAGCAATTTTTTGTTGACTACCACCGTAATGTCATGTCGAGTCTTTTATGAAATTTCTCTAAGAGTTTAGGTATCAATAGTGACATAACAGGAACTAGTTACGCTACAGATCATACCTATGCCTTAATTTAACACTGCTCATTCTTAACTTCGAAATTCACATTTTCTATCCTCTAATTTTCTTTGACGTAGTTGAAGAGGCTTGAAATTCATATCTTGGTAATGCGTTATGATTATGTCGCCTCTTGATCTACTATGCAGGTTTGTGGCCCACAAATTAGATTTCGATCTCACAAGTGTCTCTTCATACTGAATGTATGTGAGTCTTAAGTATTGGACATTGCTTCCGCCGTCGGTTAAGTTATGTAAAGTTAATATATACTCTATTCTAGATTTTACACGTTCTGAAATCATGACTTACTAGTTAAAAATTAGGTCCAAAGATTAATCAGCGACACTAATTTGTTATCTGCTTTCAAATGTATGTATAGTATACTAGATCAACTAACTGAATTCCAAACGTCTGATCAGCAGTTTGGATCATATTTCATTTTTCTCTGATTTCGGGCAGACATTATTTCTAGTCCTGGCAAAACGAATTCAAAGCGTAGTGCGCGGATATTTACAGTCACTGTGTGAAATATATACATGTATATATAGTGTGCGTGTGTGTATCAGTCCGAATTGACACACATCATCAGAACGGCTAGAAAGGAAATTAAGGGAGGCCGAAAAGATTTGTTTTCAAATTTAACAGATATCGCAGAACAATTCTGCTAGTCATAAACAACTTAGAATCTAGAACATGTACATCGGTTCAAGGTACCACGTCACGTTCGTAAAAAAGGTGGGATTACCAAAGTAAAAGTAATAAAATCATAAGGTGTATCATAAAATAAGTTCATTCATACGATGTTGAAACACAAATAAATAAACAAATCAAGTCATGGGGGATATTCGGGAATGACAGTTAACTCAGGATTTAGAAGGAGTCCATAAACAAAATGGAACTTTACCACTATGATGAATTTTATATCATGTTATCTAAAATCCAAAGTTCTATGTTGTGGCTGGCTGAGACCCCTAAGGGCAACCAATCAAGATCGATGTTAACAGAACAAGCTATTGGTCAAACGTGGCGAAATTCGTCTACTTCACTTCTATCTGAATTTTGTGCTGATGATTTTGTTCAGAAGAACAGTGAAAGCGCCACGACGAAAACATCCAGCTCGGAGGACGAAACACCACAGCAATCATCCACCTGAGCTGCAAATTTTCTCCACCATCCCTAACCGTTGATTACAATCATCGTAAAGGTTCGATCCAGTAGGTCCACACATACTGTCACGGCTAAGACCTAAAGTCAGTGGTTTCATGGTTTGATAAATAGCATGTTATGAACCCATCCCTAACTGTTGTTATTATCTCTCAAGTTCGCTTGGAGCTCTTCTAGGGTTGCTGCTGACTTAAGTCAGGATAAAGGAGGAGGGTTACCTAGTTGCGTTAATAACCCCATTCTGTAGAAAACAAACTCGCCAACAGTACACTAACCAGAAAAAAAACATATTTTATAATCATCCTTTACAATTGCCACAAAATACTAAAATTTCCATTGTTTTATATTTCATCTTCAGCTTGTCCACTGAATTTTTTTTACCCAATTGTGTTAATGATTGAAAATATTCTACCGGCTGATTTATTGGATTTGTCTACACCAAGTGTATCTGAAGGTAATCAATTATTATTTTATCGGCTTTCATTCGCCCAAATACAGTTATTCAACATTTAGTAAATAAATATGAACATTCAGAAATTTACACATGGCTTGGAACTAATATTCTTATATCAATCAATCCAAAAAATACCCATCCACCAAATTATTCATGTGATCATTGGAATGATTCTAATGAGATGACAAATTGCTGGAGAAAGCCACATATTTTTTCAGTAGCTGAAGAATGTTTATATCAGTTAACATTAACACAAAATGATCAGTCGATAATTATTACCGGTACTAGTGGATCAGGAAAAACTGAAGCTACCAAGCATATATTACATTATTTAACTTACAAAAGTAGTATAAAGCGTCAAAAACAAATGTAAGCTGATTATTCTGTGCATATTTACTAAGTAAGCTTTGTTAAAATTGGTCTAACAGCCTTCTATTAGTCATAAACTCATATATAAGCATGCAGTATCCGATAATATCTGTACATGGAATATTGTTTCTTTTATTGTTTAAAGTTGTATATCAGTTTAAGCAAGTGTGTATGTATCAGCTTCAGATGACAGGTTTTTATAAACTTGTCATCTTAATGATTTGAAAGCGGTTTTCAAAAGAATCACATGATAGTGTATGTGTTTGATGTACGTTGACTCAGATACTGAGTTTATTTTGTAATCAGTCTACTTGTATAACCTTTGTTTAGAAATCTGCCTGTAGACTCTCTGGGTCTACTACCCTGTCCGAAGCCCGGATAAAGGAGGAGGGTTGGGATGTGGGTTGGCGACTCCATCCCAGGAAAAAAACTAATTTGCCAAAAACATGTTAACAAGAGTTAATAGGTCTTCATTTAGAAGAGTTATGACGTCTCATGATAAAATTCGAGTTCCTTCGGAAGTCATGAGGCCGATGCCCCTTCTGACAACCAGAACCTTTCCACGGTAAGAGTAGAAGATATTCGTGGGTTACTAGTATTCGACCATAGATGTCTTAGAAGCATTGCTCGTGTATCGTGGGACGCCAGAGTGAGCAACGCTGTTATTAGGAAACGGGTCGTGGGTCAGAATGGCAGATGAATTGATGAAGTGCTGAAACTTCATCAGTTGAGGTGTTTGGGACATATGTGTCGTATGCCTAACCACCGAATGCCTCGATGAGCTATGTTTTTGCGATGTAGGAATAGGTTGGAAGAAAGCTAGGGGCGGCCAAACCAAAGCATTGCAGAAATCCATGAAGTCATTTACAAGTGGACTGAGTCATGTCGGTTGTTGTCGACTACCTGGTTGCGGTCCGCGAGACCATAATAATCGATGGTTAGAGACCTTGAATGACATGGCCCAGGATCGTTTGCAATGGCGCAGATGCTCCCTAATCTTCTCCATTGCTGCTAATAATTCTACTATCGCTATCACTCTCGGATTTGAACTGATAGTTGCGTCCCTGTGCTGATGTGGTATGGCAACCTGAACTGATGTACTTACATACGAAGTTCTGCGTTGTATCTGGCTGACTGTTTCGTGTTCACAGTATACTTTGTACATTTTGTATTGTTTGAAAAAATGCCTCATTTTAATGGTTAATATATATTTATTCTGTAAAACGATATTTTATCTTAATTTCCACAGAACTAAACCTGAAGCTCGTATTGAACACATATTGATACAATCGAATCCTTTATTAGAAGCATTTGGTAACTTATATTTACTGCTTTGGAATGTTTTTATCTCATCTTAAGGTAATGCTAAAACTCAGTTCAATGAGAACAGTTCACGTTTTGGCAAATACATACGCCTATTGTACAATCGGTTAGTTTGTTTTCTTTTCTAATTTGACATTATCTGTGTGTTATAATGCTAACATTCGCTAGGGGTGGCCAGACCAAAACATGGCAGAAATCCATGAAGTGTCACTGACTAGTGGACTGAGTCATGTTGGGGTAGATGTAGACTTACCTAGTTGGGGTCCGCGAGACGATAGTCATCAATGGTTAGAGACCTTGAACAACGACATGGCTCAAAATCGTTTGCAATGGCACAGGTGCATCCACTCTTTGAGCTCTCTCATATCCTAATCTTTGGATTCGTCAGCACATTTACCTTAGTCTTTCTAAACTTATCTCACTGTATCATACTTCTTGAATAGTATCTTCTAACCCTAACCTCTCCGATTACTTCTAATTCCCTTACTACCTCTACTACTATTGGATTTGAATTGAAAATTACGTCTCTGTGCTGATGTGGTATGGCAACATGAACTGATGTACTTACGTACCAAGTTCTACGTTGCATATGACTGAATGACTGACTGGATTCCTAAGCACCTCTACGCCTTTGTCTTTCTAACCTTATCTCACTGAATTATACTTTTTGAATAGTATCTTCAAACCTTAGTCTTCTTCATTACCATTAAATACCTTTACTATCTTTATCACTATGGGATTAGATTTGACATTTGCGTCTCTGTGTTAATATGTGTATGGCAACATGAACTTATGTATGTACGTGTGAAGTTCTAACGTTGCAACTGACTAACTGACTGACTCATGCTAATATTTGTTTTTATATCTTTTTCATTTTGTCTTTTTTTTACTTACAAAAGAAATCAAATTCTTATTGCAGCAAAATTACAAATTTATTTATTAGAAAAGCCTAGAGCTGTATTCACATCACAAACACTATGCTCATCATTTCATGTATTTCGTTGGGTAAGTAAGTGCATACTGTTAATTTTTATTATTATTTTATTAATATTTTTTCTTGATTGAAACGCATAGTGAACGACAATATTCCATGTACTGATGTGTGTACTAGGTCATCAATGCAAACATTATCTTCGTCTTTACTTCTTAGGGGTGTGGATATTCTATCAGGAGACTCGATTGTTCACTTAGATAGAATATTCCGATGAGATAGTTCTACTTGGTGAAGACACATAATAATAATGCGGAGTCTTCTGACTACCCACAGCAATAATGCAAGCATGCTCGGGATGCGATTCTCTCCCTTGATAGGCAAAATGTTGCTTCAAGATTGATTGGCTTGCTTCAACACCTGAACTAGTGATAGGAAGTGAAGCAGTTGGGCATGTTGACCGCTTTACTTATCTGGGGAGTCTCATTAGTGCTGATGGTGTGATGTCGAACGTGTAGACCGCTTCACTTATCTTGGGAGTTTCATCAGTGCTGATGGCCTGGTGACTGACGAAATCTCAGCACGGATACAGAAGGCTCGATTGGCTTTTGCCAACCTGCGTCACTTATGGCGTAGGAGAGATATCCGTTTGCTGACTAAAGGACGAGTGTACTGCGCAGTAGTTCGCTCCGTCTTACTTTATGGCTGTGAAACATGGCCAGTGAGAGTAGAAGATATTCGTAGGTTACTGGTTTTCGATCATAGGTGTCTTCGAAGCATTGCTCGTATATCGTGGGACACCCGAGTGAGCAACGCTGTTATTAGGAATCGGGTGCTAGGTAAGAATGGCAGATCAATAGATGAAGTGGTGAAACTTCATCAGTTGAGGTGGTTGGGACACGTGTTGTGTATGCCTAACCACCGACTGCCTCGTCGAGCTTTGTTTTGTAGTGTGGGAATTGGTTGGAAGAAAGTTAGGGGCGGCCAAACCAAAACATTGCAGAAATCCATGAAGTCATTGACGAGTGGACTGAGCCATGTCGGTAATTGTCGACTACCTGGTTGGGGTCCGCGAGATGATAATAATCGATGGTTAGAGACGTTGAATGACACGGCTCAAAATCGTTCGCAATGGCGCCGGTGCATTTATTCTTTGTGTTTTCTCAAATCCTAATCTTCTGGGTTCTTCAACACCTCTAGTGTGTACTTTCTAAACTTTGAATCATATTTCTTGAATGATATCTTCTAATCCTAACCTCTCCGATTACTCCTAATACCTTTACTGCCTCTACTACTATTGGATTTTAATTGACAATTATATCTCTGTGCTAATGTGATATGGCAACATGAACTGATGTACTTACGTACGAAGTTCTACGTTGCAACTGACTGATGGTGTGGTGACTAACGAAATCTCAGCTCGGATACAGAAGGCTCGATTAGCTTTTGCCAACTTGCGTCACTTATGGCGTAGGTGGGGTATTCGTTTGCTAAACAAAGGACGGGTGTAATCCGCATCAGTGCACTCTGTCCTACTATATGGCTGCGAAACATGTCCGGTAAGAGTTGAGGATATTCGTAGGTTATTAATATTTGATTACGGATTTATTCGAAGCATTGCTCGTACATCCTGGGACAACCGAGTAAGCAATGCAATCATTAGGAAAATGGAACTAGGTAAGAATGGCAAATCAATTGATGAAATGGTGAATCTTCTTCAATTGAGTTGATCGGGGCATGTATTACGTCTGCCTAGCCACCGACTGTCAGAAGATGTAGACTACCTGGTTATGATCAGCGAGACGATAGTAACCGATGGTTACAGACTTTAAATGACATTGTGTTAGGATATTCACCAAATATCCTAAGAGTACTATTTTTAGAAGTGTAATCCCATTGGTCGATTTCTATTGGTCAAAATTATGGTCGTTTTAACTGTCAAAGTCAAATACTTCAATGTTGTCTCTTATTGGTCATCCGGACTGTCAATGTCATTTCAAGTGTTCTTTCCTATTGGCGTCCTGAATTGCCAATGTCACAGACTTTGATGCTCTTTCCTATTCAACCTTAATGCATAAATACGCCCTATCTGTAAGCCTTCATGATTCGGATTCGGATTCCGTTTCTCCTGCCTACTTCTCTTTTGTACTCGGGCCAATAAACAACTCCATCCCACGGTGTTGTGTTCTGATATATAGGAGATTTGGAAATAGCATTTTGGGTCGTATTGGGATATTTGAATTGGACGCCGCTAGGACTGAATAGCTATGCGTAGCAGCGTCACAACACATTGCTCGAAATCGTTTGCACTGGCGTACGTACATCCACTCTTTATGTTCTCCCAAATTCTAATATAAATCCTTCATGACCTTGATCTTTCTCTTCTCAAATTTATTTCACTGGATTATACCCCGTGATTAACATCTTCAAACCTTAATCTTTTCAACCACTGCTCATACTTTTACTACCTCTACTACTATGTCATTTGAATCGAGAATTACATCTCTGTGTTCATGTGTTGTGGCAGCTGGAACTAATCTATCTACGTCCAAATTTCTTCATTGTTGCTGACTGATTGTTGAAGCAATACCATATAGCATCATCAGCACTGATGATACTCTCAAGATAAGTAGTGCAGAAGTCAATACACTCCACTACCGCTTCAACAGTCTCATGACTAATATGGAGTTTTTAAAAGATGTCAAGTTTTAAAATAGTTAGTTACTTACTTACTACTGGTAGCCCGACCGAAGCTGCTACCTTGACGTGGTGGTCGAGCTTGACTATCGTGATGACCCAACCGAGCTATACTGGCTGGAACATATGTTCCTGAAGGTTCTACCATGCCAGGCAGGTCGATTGGAGAACGATGAGACTAAAAGCAGCTACCCAGGGGCTGTGGGTGGAGTTGTACTGTTCACTGCAGAGGGGTGTGACAGCAGTAAGGTGTTTCCTTCGGATAACTAGCATCTGCAGCGATGCTGCCTTCTCACAAGGAAGGAAGGGTTAGAAAAGGTCGACCCTAAAAATGTCACACCTCACCCTACCTCACGGATTTCCGTCTCCGTCGGTAAGGGTGCCCACTAAAGGCTTTCAAGAGCGGAGCTAACACTCAAAAAACTCATAAAAAGGCCGTGCGTGACCGGCCTCAAGCAGTTGTCCCTTGGGCTCTGCGGTCACACACCCAGTTCTCTAAGACCAACTCTAATCTACCTTCCTTTTCAGGTCCCTCAAGAAACAACCTTCCATGGTGTTGGCAGCCGGGAAGTGATAACCACCCTCATACCCATAACAGCACTGGTAGTAGTAATAGTAGTATTAGTGACATTATTTCATGAAATATTCATGTGAATAAAATGTTTCTTGTTGTTTTTCAATATACGATATACAGTTTTTAGAATCTTTAACAAAAGACCAACAATCACAATTTGGTTTAAATCATTGTGATTATGTAACAACTGATGATGATGATAACAACGACAACAACAATGATACACTACAACAATCCTCCTCCTCTTCTACTACTACTACTACTACAAATTGGTCTTGTCTACTTCAAGCATTACAAACATTACATATTGAAAATGAAACATTATTAGAATTTTATAAATTATTAAGTGTAATTTTATTATTGAATAATGTACAATTCAGTCGTACTGACTGTTGTGTAGTAGTAAATGTTGACTTGAATAATCATCAGCAACACCAGCAGCAACACGAACCTCGATCAGATGATCCGACTAGTCTAGCTGATATTTCACCTGATGATGTGCAGAAAAGTAAGTAGTATACATCATGGTATATTTTTGTTCATTTTGTTCAGTTAGTTAGTTAGTTAGTTAGTTAGTTAGTTAGTTAGTTAGTTAGTTAGTTAGTTAGTTAGTTAGTTAGTTAGTTAGTTAGTTAGTTAGTTAGTTAGTTAGTTAGTTAGTTAGTTAGTTAGTTAGTTAGTTAGTTAGTTAGTTAGTTAGTTAGTTAGTTAGTTAGTTAGTTAGTTAGTTAGTTAGTTAGTTAGTTAGTTAGTTAGTTAGTTAGTTAGTTAGTTAGTTAGTTAGTTAGTTAGTTAGTTAGTTAGTTAGTTAGTTAGTTAGTTAGTTAGTTAGTTAGTTAGTTAGTTAGTTAGTTAGTTAGTTAGTTAGTTAGTTAGTTAGTTAGTTAGTTAGTTAGTTAGTTAGTTAGTTAGTTAGTTAGTTAGTTAGTTAGTTAGTTAGTTAGTTAGTTAGTTAGTTAGTTAGTTAGTTAGTTAGTTAGTTAGTTAGTTAGTTAGTTAGTTAGTTAGTTAGTTAGTTAGTTAGTTAGTTAGTTAGTTAGTTAGTTAGTTAGTTAGTTAGTTAGTTAGTTAGTTAGTTAGTTAGTTAGTTAGTTAGTTAGTTAGTTAGTTAGTTAGTTAGTTAGTTAGTTAGTTAGTTAGTTAGTTAGTTAGTTAGTTAGTTAGTTAGTTAGTTAGTTAGTTAGTTAGTTAGTTAGTTAGTTAGTTAGTTAGTTAGTTAGTTAGTTAGTTAGTTAGTTAGTTAGTTAGTTAGTTAGTTAGTTAGTTAGTTAGTTAGTTAGTTAGTTAGTTAGTTAGTTAGTTAGTTAGTTAGTTAGTTAGTTAGTTAGTTAGTTAGTTAGTTAGTTAGTTAGTTAGTTAGTTAGTTAGTTAGTTAGTTAGTTAGTTAGTTAGTTAGTTAGTTAGTTAGTTAGTTAGTTAGTTAGTTAGTTAGTTAGTTAGTTAGTTAGTTAGTTAGTTAGTTAGAAGAGAGAGTATTAAACGAATACATTACACACAAAGTGAAAAAAGAGTTTAGGATACTTAATCTCTGAAACTAAGCAGATGAATGATATGTAGAGTCATATTTTTATTATAGAGTTGTGGAGATCATTGTTATTGTAACGCTTCGCTAAAATAATTCCCAGCTAATTCCTATTGCTTAGTGTTATCGACCACAATACACTGGACAGGTTCCAAAGAATCAAAAACACGGTTGAACAGGAAAAAAGATTATATTCCAAATAGCAAAAGTTAAATGGAAATAAGAAGCCAAAAACGAAGGCGAAAATAGATACGAAGTTAGTTTCTTTATAGCATTTACATGAGAAGCTTCTGGATAGTAGTAATTCACGTGATCGACTGTATTAGATTTAACCAATCAGCAAGCAGCTAACAATACGAGTATTTTCTACCCTGTTCTCCAAGACTTGATCAGGCGCTGATTGGATAGGAAATTAGCCAATTAGCGCGCAGCAACGTAGTCATGCTTTGATTCCATCTATGTCCCACTAACAATTGTTTTGTACACATTGGATCAATCATTGTTAGACCACTATTAGAAACTTGGAAGTACTGGACAGCCGTTTCGTCCTGATACGGGACTCGTCAGCATTGTTCATTCACGACTCCTGCTACTTGCAGGATTTGAACTCAGGATCGTCGGCCTTGTACGCGGATGGTTAACCTCTGAACTATTGGGCTGGCATTGATTGATTCATGATTTTGGTGATAAAAACAACAATCTACAGAACTTTGTAATGAAAAAGCGTATAATGTGCTCACTAGTGACTAGCTTTGTGAGTAGATTCTCGGATTACTAGTGAGAAGACGTGACCAGTGGAGATTAGCAACTTTGTTAGGTGTAAGCAGTAACTACCGAAAACAAATGGGTAAGGTTGCGTAAAATCCATGGATCGATCAGAGTTAGACATCAACACCGTCGGACGTTCGCTCTCTATTCCAAAGGCTCAATCTCTGGACCACTGAGCTGTAATCCATTGGTGTTCGTGTCCAACTCTGGTCAGTCTACGGATTTCGCGCAATGTTACCCATTTATCTTTGGTAGTTACTGCCTACAACCGACAAAGATGAACTCCACTGGTCACGTCATTAATACCGTTAGATGCCGACCGGCTCAGTGGTTCAGATGTTGGGCGTTCGCGCGCAAGACCGAAGGTCCCGGGTTCGAATCCTGTGAGGTGTAGGAGTCGTGGATGCGCATTGCTACTGATGAGTCTCATACTAGGACAAAACGGCCCTTCCAGTGCCTCCAGGTTTCTGATGGTGGTCTAACAATGAGTGATTAATGATTTCAAAGTGTAGAAACACTAATCTCCATAACTTTATTTGAAAAAAGAAAATAGTTAAGACATTCAATCCGTGAAACTAAGTAGATGGTGTTTTGCAGGACATAAGTCGTCAAGACTTTGACCTGAAGATATATATAATCTAGACGATATTAGAGCAATCAGAGAAAATGCATTCCCATATTATTGGGTTTCCACTCTATTTGATCGTTATCGTAGCTGCTACTTTGATATGATAGTCGGACTTGTCTATCATGATGGCCCAACCAAGCTTTATTTTCTGGAACACACGTTTCTCAGATAAGCAACATCTGCAGCGATCCTGCCTTTTCACAACTGAGAGAAGGAGTTAAAAAATATCGACCTTCAGGATATATTGCCTCAACTTACCCTATGGATTATAATAGGTTTAAACTGCCTGGTTGGGAACAGCGCGACAGTCTCAACCGATGTTTTGAAGACTTTGAATAACATGACTCGAAATCGTTTGCAGTGGCGCCGGTGCATCCACTCTTTGTGTTCTCTCAAATTCTAATCTTCTGAATTCCTCGTTACCTTTAGTATCTTTTTTTTCAATTGACTCCATTGGTACATAATTCTGAAATTATATCTTCGATCCCTTATCACTCCGATTACCGCTTATACCTAACTATACTACTACTATGGGATTTGAATTGACAATTCGATCTCTGTGCGCTGACGTAATATGGCAACTTGAACACTGATGTACGTACATATGTATGAAGTTTTACATTTCAGCTGTCGTACTGTAGACTACCTGGTTGCGGTCCACGAGATGAAATTCACCGATAGTTAGAGACCATGAACGACATGGCTCAAAATCGCTTGCAATAGCGCAAGTGCATCCATTCATTATGTTCTCTCAAATTCTAATTTCCTGGATTCGTCAACACCTCTACCTTTGTCTTTCTAACCTTATCTCACTGAATTATACGTCTTGAATAATATCTTCAAACCCTAGTCTTCTTCATTACCATTAATACCTCTACTATCTTTATCACAATGGGATTTGATTTGACATTTGCGTCTCTGTGCTAATGTGGTATGGCAACATGAACTTATGTACGTACATCCGTACGAAGTTCTTACGTTGCAATTGACTGACTGAAAGCTGTCGTACTGTTGTTGATCACGTTGAATAAGATATTTGAGACACATATTTTATAAAAACCGGTGATATCATCTCTCTCTTTCTCTTAATGTAACAGTTCCTTTTGAAATTTCCGTACTTAGTACATTTTATATATGTATATGTATATTTATAAATGTGTTATTTATCAGTATCTTTTCTAAGATTGTATATAACTTTTTTTTCTTTTCAAAAAAATACAAGTTATAATGGCTGGTAAACTACTAGGTATTACCAATGTCGAATTACTTCATAGTTTTCCACAACAATTTATCACACGTTTTGTTCAACCTGGTTCTAATTCACATCAATCCAAACGAATGACAACTTATAAATGTGCATGTACAATTTCACAAGCTCAAGAACAACGTGATTGTTTTGTAAAAGCTTTATATAATAGGTTAGTGCAATTTTGATAATATGACTGTTAGATTCCCGGGGTTAGCAGTTGAATTCACTTGAATAACTCACCCTAGGTCTATTTTAGTCAGAACTCTATTTTAGTTAGAACTCAGAGATGATTCCTAACGAAGCTAGTCACTAGTGAATACAGTTAATTGCATTCTGGGATTGTTGCTATTTTATGGTCAACTATCTTAGCCATAAAAAAACGGTTTAGAGTTGATGCAGTTGCCTGATAGTACTTCCGATATAGCTACTCTACTAGGGCAGTTGAATTTGTAAATACACATTACGATAAACATAACCTTACATGACACATCATCGATAAGGCAAAAATCGAGAAATGTGCTTACTAGTAACTAGCTTCATTAAGTGATTCTCGGAGTTCTAGCGAGATGTGACCAGCGGAGTTCATTCCTGTTGGGTGTAGGCAGTAACTACCGAAGACGATGAGTGAGTTTTTGCGAAATACTTCGATTGATCAGGGTTGGACAATAACACCGTTGGATGCCGGCCGTCTCAGTAGTTCAAAAATTAAGTGTCCGCGCGCAAAACCGAAGGTCATAAGTTCGAATTGTGCGAAAATTAGGAGTTGTGAATGCTCACCGCTGATGAGTCCTATACCAGGACGAAACGGCTATCCAGTACTGACATGTTTCTAATCTTGGTCTAACAATGATCGATTCATGATTTCAATGCAACATTTGAAAGAAAGTGTAAGAGAATATTCGATCAGATAACGCCAGTTAGGTTAATATACGAATCATAAGGTTCTGTACAACACTGGAGACAATAACAGCTTGATAATTTGATGTTTATTTTTCTGACGAATGATCAATATGACATTTTTCATCAATCTAATAAGCATCCACTTCCAGGCCCCGATGTTATTATCATCGGCTTAACTGAGTGACATCAGTATTCAAACTGTAACTAGCGAATATTTCTTTTAGTCTTACTTGTTCTACATCGTTAACAAAAATTAATAACATTGATCGATTCATGGTTTCAAAAATGTGTAACTTAACAATCTTCACAACCCCGTAATGCAAATTACCTGTGCACACTAGTGACTAGCTTCGTGAGGAATCTTCTCCGAGTTCTAGTGGGAAGATGTGACCAGTGAAGTTCAACCTGTTCGGGTGTAGACAGTAACTACCGAAGACTGTGTATTAGATTGCGCAACTCCGTGAATTGATCAAGTTAGACACTAACACCGTTAGATAGCGGCTCAGTGGTCCGATGGTTAGGCATTCGCGCTCAATACCGTAGGTTCTGGGTTCGAATCCTGTGGGGTGGAGGAGTCGTTGATGCGCACTTCTGAGGAGTCCCATACCAGGACGAAATGGCCTTCTAGTGCTTCCAGGTTTCTAATGGTGCTGTTAAATTGATTGATTCATGGTTTCAAAAACGTGTAACTTAACAATTTTCACAACCCCGTAATACAGATATGTATATATCAATCTTTACTTACCTTTTAGCCTCTTTCATTTTTTGGTCGATTTAATAAATAAACAATTGAATTTTGATAATACTGAAGATGTTGTTAATGAATTGGGTATGTTACTACTCATTATTATTATTATTATTATTATTATTATTATTATTACTGTCACTTAGTCATAATCAACGTAGAGTCTGATGTAAATGTTCATTGAACCGCATTAAAGAAACCCCGCCTGTAGGCCCTGATAGGACACACACTACGAAAAGCACCCAACTGCGTCACGAGACAAGCCCTCACCTGGAACCCTCAAGGCAAAAGGAAAAGAGGAAGGCCAAGGAACACACTACGCCGAGAAATAGAGAAAGATATGAGAGGAATGAACAAACATTGGACAGAACTGGAGAGGGAAGCCCAGGACAGAGTTGGTTGGAGAAAACTGGTGGGCGGGCTATGCTCCATTGCGGGTAACAGGCGTAAGTAAGTAAGTAAGCCTGTAGGCCCTCCGGGGCTACTGCCGATCCCAAGCCCGGATAAAGGAGAAGGGTTGGGGTTGGCGACCGCGTCCCGCGATAAACCAACTCCCTAGAAAAACGTATTTAAATGTCCTGCCGAGTGACTGTAGCAGGACATGGTTTTCATAGGAGCCCACTGCAAAGTATCAGTTCCATTGGTGACCAACAATAAGTTCATCCGCTATTTATCCCTCAGGGTCGTGGAACCTATAGGCACACTACCTTTTGTTGTGAGAAGTTAATGAGTAGGACTTTTGCGGTAATGGCTATAGACGCATGATCATATGAGAGGAAGAATGTATTCTCTCCATTCTCTATCGTACTAGATCATTTCAAGGCTAAGGTTATATCGTAAGTGATAATGAGAAATGCTGAACATATACAAAGATTCTTTAAAAAGACAGGGTGAAAAGAAAAGTATGTTTCAAGAAATACTGGGATGCAAGATTTAACCTACATATCACACAAAATACTTAACCACTAATTGCAGTTATCATGGCGATCACAACTAAATAGTCTTCATTTTTGTAAACAATGTATGTACAAACTAATGCCATACTTTTTTGAACTGTTAACTTCATAAACTAATCAGGGTTAGATCATTATTAGAACCGTAAAAGCGCTGATTGGGACTCATCAGTATTGTGCATCCACGACTCTAAATGAGGGAATGGGACGCCGAACGCTGAACATCTAGACCATGGTGTTAATTTTTTAACGTCAATCAACCCACAATATTGCTCAACCTCACACCCAACACGGGCAAACCGCGCTAGTTACGACGATGCCCTTTAAACTCGTAACCACACACTAGTCGAAATTAAGCACAATCAAATCTCTTGTTATAATTCTCTCTCTCTAATACAACTCAGCTATTTCTCTAATGATTAGTATTCTCGAATACCAATTCACTCGAAACGTTCCCTCGAATCAGAACACAGTTGAACAGCAAATGGAGATTATATTCCATTAATTTTTTGATTTTGACCAATGCGGTCTCGTGTGTTGTTAGGGTATGAGGGCGGTTGTCACTTCCTGGCTGCCAACACCGTGGAAGGTGGTTTCTTGAGAGACTTGAAAAGGAAGATAGATTAGTGTTGATCTTAACGACCTGGGAGCGTGATCGCAGAGTCCAAGGGAGAACTGCTTGAGGCCAGTCACGCACGGTCTTTTTATGAAGGGTTAGCTCCGTTCTTGAAAGCCCTTGGTGGGCACCCTTACCGCCAGAGACGGAAATCCGTGAGGCAAGGTGAGGTGTGACATTTTTAGGGTCGACCTTTTCTAACCCTTGCTTCCTTCCTTGTGAGAAGGCAGCATCGCTGCAGATGCTGGTTGTCTGAGGGAAACACCTTACTGTTGTCACACCCCTCTGCATTCAGCAGTACGACTTCGCCCTCAGACCTTTAATAGCTGCTTTTAGTCTCTTCGTTCTCCAATCTACCTGCCTGGCATTGTAGAACCTTCAGGAACATATGTTCCAGTCAATATAGCTCGTTTGGGTCATGACAATAGGCAAGCCTGACCACCACGTCCATCTAGCAGCTACGGTCGGTATTTTCCAATAATAAGGTTAGAAATGGAAGACATAAGGTGAAATAGGAACAACGTTAATATCTTCATAGTTTTTTGTTTACATGAGAAGCTTCTAGAATATTCTCCAAGTGTGGACTAGCGCTGAATCGATAAGAATTAGCCAATCAGTGTGCAGCCAACGCTATCATGCTTTATTCTTATCTATGTCCCGCTAACATCTCTTCATAATAATTTCCTTGTTGCCATTGTTGTTGTCGTACTGTGTTAAACTCATCAGTAGTGTACATCCACGACTGTGGAGGCGGGAATCGGATCCCGAACGCTTAACCTCTAGACCGCAGAGCTGATATCCAACGGTGTTAATTTTTAACGTCAGTCAACTCACAATATTACCCGACATGGTTAAACCGTGCTAGTTACAACTTTTCACTAGAACTCCGAGAATTTTCTCACGATGCCCTTTAACAGCTGTTGGGGATGTTAGATTCCCAGGACTCACTTGATAAAGTTCCTAATTTTGGACTTCATATTTTCGAGCATGTGCAGATCAGTTGCATTTCCGATCCGGAAAATCCTTGGCTGTTATTGGTTGATGTATTATTTTAGTATACTATTTTTGTGGCTCTCCCGAAGACGTTTCTATGATGTATAAATAAACTTAATTTGTGTACTCGTGAACCTCATATTTACTAGGTGCTTATAGAGTCAGTCAGTCAGTCAGATGCAACGTAGAACTTTGTGCGTAAGTACATCAGTTCATGTTGCCATACCACGTCAGCACAGAGATGTAATGGTCAATCCAAATCCAACGGTAGTAGAGGTAGTAAAGGTACTAGAAGTAATCAGAAAGGTTAGGATTAGAAGATATTCAAGGAGTATGATTCAGTGAGATCAGTTTAGAAAGTCAAAACTAGAGGTATTGAAGAATCCCGAAGGTTATAATTTGAGAGAACACAAACGGTTTTCAGTCATGTCATTCAGGGTCTCTAACCATCGATTATTATCATCCCGCAAATACCAACCAGGTAGTCGACACCTACCGACATGACTCAGTCCACTTGTTAATGACTTCATGGATTTCTGCCATCTTTTGGTCTGGCATGTATGTGCTTGTAGAATACACTTTTTACGCCATATCAAGACTTCTTCTACTTAACGTGGTGGGGGTCAGTCGAATCTCTTTAGCCTATCATGCCATTGGATCATTTGTCTTAGCTCTCATTCACCGACTAAGGTGAACTTGTAATAGCTTTCAAACATATCAGTTGTTAATGAACATAACACAACACACAAGTTCAAACTGAACACAAATCTCTTCATAATAAGCTTCTAGAATATTCTCCAAGTATGGACTAGCGCTGATTGGTTAAGAATTAGCCAATCAGTGTGCAACCAACGCAATCATGCTTTAATCTTATCTATATCCAGCTAACATCTCTTCATAATAATTTTCTTGTTGCTATTGTTGTTGTTGTACTGTGTTAAACATTATTTGTTTGTTCCTTTTTTTTTCCTTTTAATTCTTTTTTAGGTATACTAGATCTATTCGGTTTTGAATGTTTCACTGTGAATAATTTTGAACAATATTGTATTAATTATGCTAATGAACGTTTACATCAAACATTTATGCATATTGCTGTATCAACTGTATGGTTAGAATTAGAACAAGATGAAGGATTATCATTATTATATCGATTAGTTGATGATAATGATAGTAATAGTAATAGTAGTAGTAGTACATCAACATCAATGGATATGATGATAAATGTTGACAATATTCACAATACTACTACTATTGCTACTACTACCAATACTACTACTGATCAACATAAACATCAATTTGATGCATTATTAAAACAATGTTATAATACGCATATTGTTAAAGCAATCGAAATAAATGCCAATTTATTGGAAGAAGTATGTGTAAATGGTTTGTTTGTTTGTTTCGTTGTTCGTATGTATTATTTATTCATTTAAACATATTTAAAGTTAGTCACGTAAGCATATTAATGCGTCAAACAAATGATTGAATTTGTCCAATGAACTATGGCTATGGTCCAGGTGGTCATCTTTTGGGGGGGGGGTGGCCCATCTTTGTCGTAGACATCCTCCCTAGAGTTAACATTAAGCTCGTCAAATTTTTCAAGGGGTTGACCTCCTACGTGGAAAATCGCTTACTGATCTAGAATATGTCGATGATATAGTTCTAATTGGTGAAGAGGCTGACAAAATGCAGAGTCTTCTGACTACCCTAAGTAACAATGCAAGCATGTTCGGGATGCGGTTTTCCCCCTCAAATTGCGAAATGTTGCTCCGAGATTGGGTTGCGTCGGCACCTGAACTAGTGATAGGGAGTGAAGTAGTCGAGCGTTTCGACCGCTCCACTTATCTTGGGAGTCTCATCAGTGCTGATGGCCTGGTGACTGACGAAATCTCAGCACGGATACAGAAGGCTCGATTGGCTTTTATCAACCTGCGTCACTTATGGCATAGGCGTGATATCCGCTCGCTAACCAAAGGACGAGTGTACTGTGCAGTAGTTCGCTCCGTCTTACTTTATGGCTGTGAAACATGGCCATTGAGAGTAGAAGATATTCGTAGGTTACTAGTATTCGATTATAGATGTTTAAGAAGCATTGCTCGTATACCGTGGGCCAACCGAGTAAGCAATGCTGTCGTTACGAAACGAGTACTAGGTAAGAATGGCAGATCAATAGATGAAGTAATGAAACTTCATCAGTTGAGTTGGTTGGGACATGTGTTACGAATGCCTAACCAACAACTGTCGCGACGAGCTTTGTTTTGCAGTGTAGGAGTAGACTGGAAGAAAGTTAGGGGCGGCCAAACCAATACATAGTAGAAATTCATGAAGTCAGTGACAAGTGGACTGATTCATGTTGGTACTTGCACACTACCTGGCTGGGGTCCGCGAGACGATAGTCACCGATCGTTAGAGACCTTGAGTGACATGGCTGAAAGTCGTTTGCAATGGCGTAGATGCATCCACTCTTTGTGTTCTGTCGAATCCTGATTTCTGAATTCATCAACTCCTTCACTTTTGTCTTTCTAAACTTATCTGACTGAATTATACTTTTTGAATAATATCTTGGAACCATAATCTTCTCGATTACCAGTAGTACTCCCACTACTATCTCCACCACTATGGGGTTTGAATTGACATCTGCGTCTTTGTGCTAATGTAGTATGGCAACATGAACTTATGTAGTTCTACGTTGTAACTGACTGACTGAATGACCCCATCTTTGAGTCTTTAACCCAAAAAGTCCACCCCGGCGAGGAAATGGATTAACATTATTAAAAAAAAACAGCGATAACTTTAGTCAATGTACTTTATTGATCTAGGTGTTTGATAATAATGTGTTTTGAAGTGATTAAGGCTTGCCGAGTAAGCATTGCTGCTGATGTCACGTAAAATGTACTAGGTAGAAATGATAGATTAATTGATGATGTTGTAAATCTTAATCAGTTGACGTAGTTGAGATATGTGATACATATGCATCACCACCGACTGCTACGATGATGGATGTTTCGTGATGATGAACATACGTGTCTTCAAAGGATTCCGTATTTCCTGGGACCACTGTGTAAGCAGTACTGTTGTTTGGAAACGGGTATTTTAGGTAAAGGATGGCAGATCAGTAGATGACGAAGTGAGTGTTCAAGGTCTGAGGGTGAAGTCATACTGCTGAATGCAGAGGGGTGTGACAGTAGTAAGGTGTTTCCCTCGGACAATCAGCATCTGCAGCGATGCTGCCTTCTCACAATGAATGAAGGGTTAGAAAAGATCGACCCTAAAAATGTCACACCTTACCCTACCTCACCGTTTTCCGTCTCTGTCGGCAAGGGCTGCCCAAGTGGCTCGAAAAGAGCGCAGCCAATACTCAAAATGCCTGCGTGACCGGCTTCAAGCGGCTGTCCCTCGGACTCTACGATCACGCTCCCAGGTCTTTAAGATCAACGTTAATCTACCTTCCTTTTCAGGTTCCTCAAGTATCACCCTTCCACGGTGTGGGCAGCCGAGAAGTAACATCCGCCCTCATACCAATACCCATAAAAGTAAGACCAGAGGATATTTGTAGGGTACTGGTATTTGGTCATAGATGTCTTCGAAGGATTGCCCGTATATCCTGCGATCATCGAGTAAGCAATCCTGTCATTAGAAAACGAGTACTAGGTAAGGATGGCACATCAATAGATCTGTCTGTCAGGGCTGTCCACCTTCCTCATTCTTGTTTAATTTTGTCATAGACTAGATTCAAGATATAACATTATCATCGTCTGAATTTTCGTAAGTCGACCCTTTACCAGGAGCCACGCTTGCTTACTTAGAGTACGCTGATGACATAGTTCTATTCGGTGAAGAGGCTGACAAAATGCAGAGTCTTCTGACTACCCTAAGCAACAACGCAAGCATGTTCGGGATGCGGGTTTCCCCCTTCGAAATGCAAAATGTTGCTTCAAGATTGGCTTGCGTCGGCACCTGAACTAGTGATAGGGAGTGAATTAGTTGATCGTGTTGACCGCTTCACTTATTCCGGGAGTCTCATCAGTGCTGATGGCCTGGTGACTGACGAAATCTCAGCTCGGATACAGAAAGTGCGATTGGCTTTTATCAACCTGCGTCACTTATGGTGTAGGCGAGATATCCGTTTGCTGACTAAAGGACAAGTGTACCTTGCAGTAGTTCGCTCCGTCTTACTTTATGGCTGTGAAACATGGCCATTGAGAGTAGAAGATATTCGTAGGTTACTGGTTTTCGATCATAGGTGTCTTCGAAGCATTGGTTGTGTATCATGGGACAGCCGAGTCAGTAATGCTGTTGTTATGTAACGGGTCCTTAGTAAGGGTGGCAAATCAATAGGTGAAGTAGTGAAACTTCATCAGTTGAGGTGGTTGGGACATGTGATACGTATCCTAAACCACCGACTGCTTCGGTGAGCTATGTTGAGAGACCCTGAACGACATGGCTCAAAATTGTTTGCAATAGTTCTGTGCTAATGAGTTATGGCAACTTGAGCCGGCTGTACGTGCCTACGTCCATACAAAGTTCATTGTTTTATCCCAACCATTAAACTCTATCTATCCTCCTTCCTCTTATTATTATTCATAGGTTTGTCTATTAAATCGTATTCATAATGTGAATTCGTCAATTTCATCGTCTGCGCCACAACAACTATTAGATCCACGTGAATTAGATTGGATGAATAAAATACAATCATCATTGAAATTATTGAATAATTCAATTTATTTATATAATGGTTAGTTCATTTTTTTTACTTTTCACTCAATTCATTCATACTTTGTGATATTTTAATTTTAATTAAAGTTGTGTTCATTGTTCAAAATGGTATGTTAGTTTATTTTTGATCGAACTGATGATGACTGAGCAGGACAGTCAATTACAACGTAGAACTTCGTGCTTGAGTACATCAGTTCAGGTTGTCATACCAACATATTAGCACAGAGACGCAACTGTCAATTCAAATCCTTTAGTGGTAACGATTGTCGAAGTATTAGCAGTAATGGAGAAGATTAGGGTTCAAAGATTTGATTCGAGAAGTATAATTCAGTGAAATAACTTTAGGAAGAGAAAGATAGAGATGATGAGGAATTCAGAAGATTAGAATCTGAGTAAACACGAAGAATGGAATCACCTGCGCCATTGCAAACGATTTTCAGCCATGTCATTCAAAGTCTCTAACCATGGGTGACTTTCGTCTCACGGACTCCAACCAAGTGGTAGCCTGCACCTACCAGCATGACTTAACGTTTGGTGTACGTCTCCGATTCGTGTCGTTGGCTACTATGAAATCTCATCTCATGACGTTATTCAATTGCCTGATAGATTAGATCTTTTAGTGGTCCATGTTTGGACTTACCATTTGGACGAATGTTTGAGTAGGTTATCAAAAAAGTCTTCCTGTCAATTTCCGTATATCATATGCTTACGCGAACTCCATTTTGTGTAACTTTGTTAATAACAAGCCAAATAAAGATTCAGTTGAATGAGTTTAATTCATACAAGCGTAAAAGCGAAACGAAATGGACAACGCAAGTGAGTCAATTCATTGCAGTGAAACATGACTAATCAATTGTAGTCAGACCAGAAAAGACTAGACAAGTAATAAGCGAAGTAAGCCGCAAACACACACACATTCACAAAGCGAATAAATTGAACAGGTCAAAAGACATGTGAACATTAACTTAAGATGGTAGAGAAAATGTGTAGCTCAGGTGGATGATAGTAGTGGTATTATTCATTCTCTAATCTGGAGGATGTTTTGGTTGTAGAGCTTTCATTGTTCTTCTACTGGACAACATCAACAGGTCAGAGAACGAAATACCACCATAATAACTTGAACACAAAGGGTTCAGTAGTTTGTCCTCACATATGATGTTATATAAGTTTTTTTTAATAGATGAAGTATTGAAACTTCATCGGTTGAGGTGGTTGGGACATGTGTTACGTATGGCTAACCACCGACTGCCTCGTCGAGCAATGTTTTGTGGTGTAGGAGTAGGTTGCAGGAAAGTTAGGGGTGGCCAAACCAAAACATGGCAGAAATGCATGAAGTCACTGACTAGTGGATTGAGTCATGTTGGTAGATGTAGACTACCTGGTTGGGGTCCGCGAGACGAAAGTCACCAATGGTTAGCGACCTTGAACGACATGGCTCGGAATCGTTTGCAATGGCGCAAGTGCATCTATTCGTTGAGCTCTCTCAAATCCTAATCTTCTGGATTCGTCAGCACCTCTACGCCTTTGTCTTTCTAACCTTATCTCACTCACTGACTTATACTTCTTGAATAATATCTTCGAACCCTAGTCTTCTCCATTATCATTAATACCTCTACTAACTTTATCACTATGGGATTTGATTTGACATTTGCGTCTCTGTGTACTAATGTGTATATGGCAACCTGAACTTATGTACATACGTACGAAGTTCTACGTTGCAACTGACTGACTGATATAGCTTTTTTTGAAAATAAAAAAGACACGTTTGATGTCATCTTCACTCACCTCTTTCTGTATTCTTATGTTGACTTAACCATTTCTTGTTTCAGGTCACATTAATCGATCACATAGTGGTGCTACTCCAATAAATACCAACAAGTCTAAACACACAACCACATCATCTTCATTAACAACAGCAACATCAAAATCCCGGTGGAAAAATCCTACACCAACGTCAACATGTGATGCTTTCATTGTGAAACATTATAATGGATTAGTGACTTATTCTGTTAAAGGTTTTGTTAGTAAAAATCTTGATCGTTTACCGATACATTTATTCACATGGATAAAAGATGCATTGAGCACTGTTGCTACCATTGATGATAACAATACTACTAATAATCCTAGCAGTAGTACTATTACTGGTAGTAGTCTTATCTATACAATTGTGAGTAATGCATTAGATAATATAACAAATACAAATAAGAATTTAAAATATCCAACAGAGAATTCACCCATTGGACGATCACCTTTACAACAAATAAACAAAAATGATTATAGTCATAGAATGAATAATAACAATAGTCCGCGTCAACATCGTCAAACGTCAATGATGGCGAATACATTTACAGGTAACTAACTATTTTGAATTTGAAAAATCATGAATCAGTGATTGTTAGACCAGCATTAGAAACTTGAAAGCAGTGGATGGCCGTTTCGTCCTGTTTTTGGGACTTGTCACTAGTGTGCATCCATGACTAATCCTACAACGCTCAGGATTCAAACTCAGGACATTCGATCTTACTCGCAAGTGCATAATCTTTGGACCACTGTGTTTCGCCTACGCGTAACAACGTCAACTTGATATGCTTGAACTATTACGAGTTTACGTAGTTGGAAAACGAAAGCGAGGATTGAGGATCCGGCGACACGACATAATACTCAAATCCGATTATCCTAACTCCCATATTGAGTAAAAATAAGAAGACTTGATATGAAGTAGAACTTGTATTCTACAAGCATCCAGAAAGTACGAGGTCCGAATCCAGAAGAGAATCAGCATCCCGGACTAGAGATCCAGGACTAGTTCCTGGTCGTGGTCATAAAACGTTACAGATAATCGATGAATAGTAGACCACTATTGAAAACATAGAATCATTGTAGAGATGGCTGTTCCGTCCATAGTATGAGGCTTATTTGACAGAGCACATCTACTACCCAGCAAGCGAGAATCGATCCCGGGGCGTTTGGTTCTGCGCAAGAACCAATACATGGCACAAATCCATGGTGTCACTGACAAGTGGACTGTGTCATGTTGGTAGATTTGTGCGACCTGGTTGGGATCCTCGGGACGATAGTAATCGATGGTTAAGAGACCTTGTATGACATGGCTCAAAACTGTCTGGCTGTAAAAGAGTGAGTCGACAATGCGTCAGTGAAAACGCTTTTGGTGTACGCTTTTGAAACCTGCTCTCTTTTAGCTGAAGATATTCGAAAGCTCTCCGTGTTTAATCACCATTGTCTTTGAAGAATCGCTTCCATTCAGTGACGACATGTGTATTGTTTGCTAACCCTACGATTGGTTGGAAAAAGCCAAGAGTTCGCCTGTGTATGGTATGGTTTCACTGTACAAAAGAGTTATACATGATATGCATCTGTTAGTCCTTAATGTCTCCTTGATTGGAGTCCTTGAGATGGCACAGCTTAAGACCATATCAGATATAACTCAGAATAGAAGCCACTGGAGGTACTGCTACAACTTTGTTTTAAATTCTTTACACAGGTCAAAGGAACTTCTCTTACTGCACGAATTCTTTCTGGTTGTATTTTCTTTAACTGAACTGCCTCTCCTGCGATTATTACCATTATTTCGAGTTGCATAAATATATACATATTTTGAAACCTCTTTGTATCGATGTGCGTGTTTTTAATAAACTAATTGCTGTAAAATATTGACTATAGCTGTGGTAAACAATGTACTCGTTAACAGGATGTGACGTATCTACGATTGTACATAAACTGGTACTCTTTATGACATTCAAAATTGTATTACAGTTTATCTTATTTGTAACTTATCATTATCGCAAATGTTTTTACATCAGAGTGAACCAGACGATGATTGGTGAAATAAAAATCTAAAGTGTTATCCTTTAAGTTAATATGTCGAATTATTCACGACTATGTTCACTTAATATGATATCTTCTGATTCCACAACTAACCGTTGTTCAACATATAATTTAATCCAGAATATAACTGTCACCTGGACAACATGGTAGTCTAACGTCGTGAATGTTCATTTACGACAGTTCTTGTACTATGGACTTATTATCTAATCATTGATCCCCTGCTGTCATTGAAATTTTTACTAAAATGAAACTGCGGTGAATCAAACTTTTTTTTGGAACGATGAATCGATCAATGATAGACCACCATTAGAAACCTGGAAGCACTGGAAGGCAGTTTCGTCCTGGCGCGGGACCCACGAGTAGCAGTGCGCATCCACGAATCCTGCACCTCGCAGGATTCGAACCCAGGACCTTTGGTATTGCAGGCGAACGCCTTACCATCGGACCACTGAGCCGGTCCCTAACGGTGTTATTGTCTAACTTGATCAATTCACGGAGTTGCGCGACCTCATACACAGTCTTCGATAGTAGACACTGCCTACACTCGAACAGGTTGAACTTCACTGGTCATGTCTTCCCACTAGAGGAACTCGGAGAAGATTCCTCACGAAGCTAGTCACTAGTGAGCACAGGTAATTTGCATTACAGGGGTTGTGAAGATTGTTAAGTTACACATTTTTTGAAACCATGGATCGATCAATGTTAGACCACCATTAGCAGAAACCTGGAAGCACTGGATAAGGCCGTTTTGTCCTGGTATGGTACTCACCAGTAGCAGTGCGCTTCCACGACTCCTGCACCCCGCTTTTATCTGCATGTGCGTGTGTATGTGTGTGCTTGTTTCATTCAATTATGTGTTGTAATTGTCATGTTCAGTTTATGTAAATTTTAACTTTTCTATTCTATTCTTATTTTATGCATAATCGAAAAGAGAATACTCAGCCTAATATGAATCATTCCATTTCGCCGACAAATCATCGTTTTAATGTTAACAATACTACCACTACTACTACTTCTACTACTACTACTACTACTACTGCACGTCGTTTAAATACCGTATTTGGTAATTTTAAAGTACGTATAACTCAACAAGACAATTGAACATTGAGTTATTAGTTATTTTAATTAAGAATATTATTATTGTTATTATTATTATTATTATTATTATTATTATTATTATTATTATTATTATTATTATTATTATTACGTAATTGAACATCTTCAAACCGTAATCTTTCCGATTACTGTTCATACTTCTACCTCCTCTACCACTATGTGAAATTGCATCTGTGTGCTCTATCGTGTTAATGGCAAGTTGAACTGATGTACTTAAGTACAAAGTTCTGCATTGTTACTGATTGATTGACTGATTACGTAATCAAAAGTATTGAAATATTGTTAGGATATTCATCCAATATACTAACAGAATTATTGGTCAATTTTATGGTCGTCCTAGATATCAATGTCACGTGCTCCAATGTTGTTTCTTATCGGTTGTCCTATCAGTGTCACTCCAAATGTTGCTTCCTATTGGTCGTCCTAACTGTCAACCTCACAGAATTCCATGCTGTTTCCTAATCAACCAAAATGTATAAATACGCATTATCTGAAACGTTTTATGACCACGACCAGGACTCGGTCCCGGATCCCTAGTCCGGGATGCTGATTTTCTTATGGATTCGGACCTCGTACTTTCTGCATGCTTGTAGAATATAGGTTCTACTTCATATCATGTCTTTTTATTTTTACTCATTATGCGGGGCTGGCATAATCGGATTTGAGTAGCATGTCGTGTCGCCGGATCCTCACTCTCGTTTTCCGATTAGGTAAACTCGTAAAAGTTCAAGTATATCAAGTTGACGTGTTTACGTGCAGACCTAACAAATATATAGTACAAATATATAAATATATCTTTCGACAGTACTATGTGTGCTACCAGAGCAATGGAACATGTAATCAGCAGCAACACAATGACCAGGATGAAGTTAGGCTTATTTGCTTTAATTAAACCCCCAGTCCAGTGAACTTCATGGAAGAATTCTAGTGTTAGTAGTCATTATCTGTAATTTCACAAGTAGCCTGGAAGAACGAATAACCAACACTAAACTTATGCGTACTCAGTATAGATAAATAGATAGATAGTGTTATGCTCGTCAATTGATATGCTTGAAACTATTACGAGTTCACCTTAGTTGGTAAACGGGAGCGAAGACAAATGATCCAGTGACGAAATAGGTTATTCTGACAACCGTATGAGCAATGCTGTCGTTAGGAAACGAGCTTTAGGTAGGGATGGCAAATCGTGAGATGAAGTAGCGGAACTCCATCAGTTGAGGTGGTTGGGACATGTGTTACGTATGCCTAACCACCGATTGCTGCGACAAGCTATATTTTGTGGTGCAGGAGAAGGCTAGGGGCGACCAAACCAAAACATGGCAGGTGGACTGATTCATGTTAGTAGATGTAGGCTACCTGATTGGGGTCAGCGAGACGAAAGTCACCAATGGTTAGAGACCTTGAATGACATGGCTCAACATCATTTGCAATGGCGCAGGTGCATCCACTCTTTGTGTTCTCTCTAATTCTAACCTCCTGAATTCCTCATAATCCCTATCTATCTCCTTCTAAATTTATCTCACTGAATTATACTTCTCGAATCATATCTTTGCTCCCTAATCCATTACTGCTAATACTTCTACTATCGCTATCACTCTTGGATTTGATCTGACAGTTGCGTCTCTACTGATGCAGTATGGCAACTTGAATTGATGTACGAAGTTCTGCATTGTATCTGTCTGTCCTTGTTAGAGACACAAAAATAGCGTGCTAAAATTAATACATCAGCCAATGACAGTCAAGGATTTTCCAGGAAGAGAAATGTAGTCTCATGGTTAACTGATCAGACCATACATGAAAGCATAAAATCCAAAATTCGGACTTTTATCAAGTGAGTTCTAGGGATCTAACATCCCCAAGAGATAGATAGATAAATAGATAAAACGCTTGTTCTGTGCTCCACTATTTGCTACCTTCCATCTCTGTTTAAAATTCGACAGACAGACAGACAGACACAACACAGAATTTCGTACGTAGGTACATCAGTTAAGATTGCCCCATACCACATCAGCACAGAGAGACACAACTGTCAGTTCAAATTCATGAGTGATAGCGATAGTAGAAGTATTAGCAGTAGTAATCGAGAAGATTGTGCTTAATTTTTAGTAATATTAGTACATTTTAAAAATAATTATTACACAATACATACCAATTTACTACTGATAATAATCAAAACTAATACATACAGTAAGTAGTATATTGCATAGGATAAATTTTTTATGATTTATGTTGTCGTTGTTGGTGTTTTTCTTTCTTCTCCTTTTCTCTTTTCACTTTTTCACACAAAAACAACGAAAAACAGTCATCTCTAGATCAATTACTTGATTGTTTAAATTGGCATAATTTATATTTTATACGTTGTATTCGACCGGATCCACCATCCTTATCCTCATCATCGATTGATGATTGTTCAATGATCAATAATTCCATATCAATCATTGACACGGATTATGTACAAGATCAACTTGTACATAGTGGTATATTTGCTGCATTAGAAGTGTTACGTTCAACGTATTATGCAAAGTAAGTGTTGTTTTTTTTGTAATTGGAGTTTTTCCCCTGCTCCTCTGCTCCCCAACCAAATAGTCTACTTCTATTAAAAAAATGCCTCATTATGATTGGTTATATGACTTTTTGAAGATTTGTGTTATGTATTAGTTTAAACGCTTTCTTCCAGACTACTTCAGTCAGTCAGTCACATGCATCGTAGAACTTCGTACGTAAGTACATCAGTTCATGTTGCCATACAGAGATATAATTGTCAATTCAAATCCCATAATAGTGGTAGAGGTAGTAAAGGTATTAGAAGTAATCGAAGAGGTTAGGATTAGAAGATATTATTCAAGAAGTATGATTAAATGAGAAAAGTTTAGAAAGTCAAAACTAGAGGTGTTGAAGAATCCAGAAGATTAGGATTTGAGAGAACACAAAGAATAAATGCACCGGTGCTATTGCAAACCGTTTTGAGCCATTTCATTCACGGTCTCTAACCATCGATTATTATCATCTCGCGGACCCCAACCAGGTAGTCGACAACTACCAACAGTCCACCTGTCAATGACTTCATGGATTTCTGCCATGTTTTGGTTTGGCCGCCCCTAGCTTTCTCCCAACCTACTCTTACACTACAAAACAAAACTCGTCAAGGCAGTCGGTGGTAAGGCATACGTAGCACATGTCCCAACCACCTCAACTGATGAAGTTTCATTACTTCATCAATTGATCTGCCATTCTTACCTAACACCCGTTTCCTAACGACAGCATTGCTTACTCGGTTTTCACACGGTATACGAGCAATGCTTCTTAAACATCTATGATCGAATACTAGTAACCTACGAACATCTTCTACTCTTAACGGCCATGTTTCGCATCCATATAGGAGAACGGAGCGAACTGCTGCGCAGTACACCCGTCTTTTGGTCAGTGAACGGATATCTCTCTTACGTCATAAGTGACGCAGGTTGGCAAAAGCCAATCGAGCTTTCTGTATCCGTACTGAGATTTCGTCAGTCACCAGGCTATCAGCGCTGATGAGACTCCCCAGATAAGTGAAGCGATCAACACGCTCAACTACTTCACTCCCTATCACTAGTTCAGGTGCCGATGTAACCCAATCTTGAAGCAACATTTTGCATTTCGAAAGGGGAAAGCAGTAACAGCGCACGAGACCAAATTGGTCGAAATCAAATCCTCCGGCCTACTTCGTCACCGGACAGCATCTGCTGTGTTGTGGTAGTCGATGGTTGGGGTTGAGTAACACATACCCTTAACCATCTTTACGTAAGTATCTTATTGCTAACCCCTCTAAAGGTTGCTTCCTCAATACTTCCAGAGTACACTAGCAATATTTTGAAAACACCTGTGAACGAATACTAGTTAGTAATCGTACGAATATTCTCTATTCTTAGTGACCATGTTTCTCACTTATAAACTAGTAGAACAGACTGAAATTCTACGCAGTATTGAGCAGATGGATGTCTAGCCTACAGCATAAATGACGTAAGTTAGCAAAAGCCAGTGGAGCTTTCTGTGCCTGTGCCGAAATTTTATAAGACACTAGGCGATCAGAACTAGTGATGAAGAACTGTGGTTAATTAGGTGATCGGCTTACTGTGCAACAGTTCACTCCATCCTACTTTATAGCTGCGAAACATGGCCAGTAAGAGTAGTGGATATTCATAGGCTATTAGTATTCGATCATAGGTGACTTCATTGCATTGCTCGTATATCCTGGGAGCAGCGAGTAGGCGATGCAATTGTTAGTAAAGGGGTTACTGGGTTAGGATGGGAAATCAGTTGATGAAGTGATGAATCTTCATCATTTAAGGTGGTTCGGATATGTGTTAAGTATGCTCGAATGCCGAGGCTAGCAATGTTTTGTGGTGTAGTAATAGGTTGTAAGAAAGCTAGGGGCAGCCAGACCAAAACATGGCAGAAATCCATGAAGTCACTGACAAGTGGACTAAGTCATATTGTTAGATGTCGACTACTTGGTTGGGGCCTGCGAGATGATAATAATCGATTGTTAGTGACCCTGAATGGCATGGCTCAAAACCGTTTGCAGTGGTGCAGTTTCATCCACTCTTTGTGTTCTCTCAAATTCTAACCTCTCTCTTTCTAAACTTACCTCACTGAATTATACTTCTTGATTAATATCATCGGGCCGTGATCTCTCCGATTACTGCTTATACTTCTACTTCCACCACCAATATTGGATTTGAATTGACAATTGCCTCTTTGTGCTACCGTGATATGAGCAACTTGATCTGATGTATGTACGAACGTCGTAACTGACTGACTGTTTGATATCACATTAACATTGATGTAATATATATCACCTCACATGTTATGAACCACACACATTATTGAATTTGTAATTGGGCTGGAAAACTGCTCGGGTTCCCAAACCTCCAATGCCTCATTGATCCATAGGTCTTATCTACAAGTCAATGTAGCAACATCAAGAGATACAATCTCATAATTGCGAATCACTAACAATATGTTCGTACATCATTTGTTTTCCTGATGTCATGGAGCCCCTGTAATTCATTGGTTTATAATCAATATGTTCTTGCTCTCTTGACTGAAGCCTACAAACCTAGTAAGCCACGTTATTTCACTTTTTTTCCTCTCATTTTCACAAACAACTCTATCACCACGAGAAGTCATTGAGTAAAGCTTCCCTGTTAGTGTCTGTGTAGGTGTAGCCATATGAGAGAACATTTGAAGTAAGAAAGAGCGAATTCTCTCCACCCTTGGCCGTACCAGGATTACTTACTTACTTACGCCTGTTACCCCCAATGGAGCATAGGCCTGTCCTGGGCTTCCCTCTCCAGTTCTGTCCAATGTTTGTTCATTCCTCTCATATCTTTCTCTATTTCTCGGCGTAATGTATTCTTTGGCCTTCCTCTTTTCCTTTTGCCTTGAGGGTTCCATGTGAGGGCTTGTCTCGTGACGCAGTTAAGTGCTTTTCGTAGTGTGTGTCCTATCCACTTTCACCGCTTCTTCCTCATTTCTTCCTCCACTAGAATCTGGTTTGTTTTCTCCCACAGTACGTTGTTGCTGTTAGTGTCTTACCAACGAATCCGAAGTATTTTGCGTAGACAGCTGTTCATAAATACTTGTATCCTCTGGATGATGGCTTTCGTAGTTCTCCATGTTTCCGCTCCGTACAGTAGAACTGTCTTGACATTTGTATTGAAAATCCTGATTTTGGTTTTGGTTGAAAGTTGTTTGGAGTTGCAGATATTTTTCAACTGTATAAATGCAGCCCTTGCTTTGCCAATCCGCGCCCTCACATCTGCATCGGATCCACCTTGGTTGTCGATGATGCTGCCAAGATATGTAAAGATGTTAACGTCCTCCAAGGCATCTCCATCAAGAGTGATTTGTTTGGTGCATGTTGTGTTGCATCGGAGAATTTTGCTTTTACCTTTATGTATGTTGAGACCTACTGATGCAGAGGCTGCTGCTGCACTGGTCGTCTTCTCTTGCATTTGTTGTTGCATGTGCGATAGAAGATCCAGGTCATCTGCGAAGTCCAGATCATCCAGCTGCGTCCTAACTGCATATGAGTAACTCATCTAGTTTTGCATTGGCGCCTCTATATACAAATCACTCGTATTTTTTATTTATATATTGTTAGATATACATATGAAGATTTTATTAGTCAATACAGAGTATTATGGCAATTAAATCCTCGACCACCAGCTAATCAATTAATGAATACAGAATTCGCTTTATTAAATTCATGGTATCTTAAATTAATTCAACTACCACGTTCAACATCCAAGCGTACTCCGCTTAAATTACGCCGTGAAACAAGTAAGTTGTTGTCGTAGTAAAATTATTCACTTTTCATCCTTTGTTTGTTCTAGTTATGTTCTTTCTTTACTATTTGAACGATAGTTCACTTTATAGATGAACAGCTTAGGCTAAATAAATTCGTAAATACACTGAACGGTATTTACTTACCTGTCTGTTACCCTTAGCCCGCCGACCACCATTCTCCAGCCTACTTTGTCCCGGGCGTTAGGGTTAAGGTTTGTCTATGTATCTCCATTTCTCCGCTTAATATATTTTTTTGATGTCCCTTTTTTCCTCTGGCCCCGAGGATTTTAAGTTGGGGCTTGCCTCGTGACGCCTTTACGCCTGTTACCCTTAATGAAACATAGGCCACCGACCAGCGAATAATGTTTCTGGTTGGCGGTTATTTTTAGTGAGGTAGTTTTGTAAGAAATCGGATCACTGACCCAATATGCCTAACCCTTTTCCTTTGTCTGTGCTTAGGACTAGAAGTGTTCCAGGTGAAGTTCCATGAATATATCAAGTCAACAACAACGTATAACTTCGTACGTACTTACGTACATCAGACCAACTTGTCATGCCATATTTGCCCAGAGATGCAATTATCACTTCAAATCACATAGTAGTAAAGGTAGTAGAAGTATTAGCAGTAATTGGAGAGATCACGCCCGATGATATTATTCAAGAAATATAATCTAGTGAAATGAACTTTAAAAGAAAAAGTGATGAGGAACTAAAAAGTTTGTGATTTGAGAGAACACAAAGAATAAATGCACCTGCGCCATTGCAAACGGTTTTGAGCCATGTCATTCAGGGTATCTAACCATCGATTATTGTCATCTCGCAGAAACCAACCAGGTAGTCGATACGTACCGACATGACTCAGTCCACTTCTCACTACACTACAAAACAAAGCTCGACGAGGCAATTGGTGGTTAGGCATACGCAGTACATGTCCCAACCACCTCAACTGATGAAGTTTCAATCTGCGCTTTGTTATTTGTCTAGTAGTATATTAAGAAACTTTGAATGTTAAAAATATTTTTTTTTCAATGTTCCTGAACAAACAAAAATCCAGGTGAATCAACAATTCAACAACAACAACAATTTGTTTTAATTTTATTAACACTTGGATTAAATTTAATTCCATGTAAATCTGATGATGTCATATCAACCCAACTAGTCAATAACACTAATTCCGATCAGATTTTAAATGAATTAATTATGAAACATTTTCCAATTATACAACAATTTGGTCGTACAAAAATACATTTAACTAAAAATCAATATGAACATTTAATTCATTTGAAAGAATTTATGTTAAATCGAAATATTCAAGTGATACAACGTTGTAAGTTGGTTTGTTGGTTGGTTGGTTTTAAATTCAATTTGAATGTTCTTATGATTGTTATTATTATTACTTTTTATGGGTACATTCGAGTGTGAGTCAGTCAGTCAATCAGTTATAACTGTTGGAGATGTTAGATCCCCCAGAATTCGCTTGATAAATGCCCTAATTTTGGATTTCACGACGTTTGCGAGGAGCATGGGCTGATCAGTTGACCTTAAGGTCACACATTTCCCACCAGGAAAATACATGGCTGTAATTGGCTGTTGTGTATTTTATTAGTGTGCTATTTTCGTAACTGTCTGAAGGACATTTCTATGATGTATAAATAAACGAGAGTTGTGTGCTTGATTGTATTGTGTGATTGCTGGGTGTTTGTAGTAGAATATACTTCTACGCTTACCAAGCCTTCTATCTTCAGCTTGGGATTCAAAGTAGCCTATCTGGACGCTGGTTCATTGTCTCGTTCGCGTTTATTGATTAAGGTGAACTCGTAATAGCTTCAAGCATACCTAGTGGCAAACATAACAATAATGCCGAGGCTTAGTTGATCAAGATGCTAAGTGTTTGTATGATTCTAATGTGTGCGGAGTAATGTGGCCACGGACAGAACGGCCGACAGGTCATCCAGACCGTCGCCGTGCTTAGCGTGGACGCCCGATCAACATGAGCACCTACATGCCAGAACTCACGGTCCCGCGAAATCCCGCACCCTAGCCCCCAAGTAGCTAGATTACAGGCGCACGCCACCACGCCCATCAGTCGGCCAGAATTGATCAAATGTTTATTAATATGTAATATTCAGTATATGTCAATTGTGTATTTGTGATGAATGTATGTGTATATGTCGAGCCTACAGGGCTTGTTTCAAGCCTTCAAACAATTTGAATGATCCACTCTATCCGTCTTCTGATCTTTCCAACTGTTCGCTTTCATCTTGGTTGTCTTTATCCGAGTAATCGTGTGTACCGTTTACTTCCCTTATCGCATGTTTGTCTTATTTTTATCTAACTATGAATGCTTAATCATTCCTCATCATCACAGGGGATTTGGCTCGCATGCTATTTCATTCTCGTCTGTCTACCAAAATGAAAGTATGAAATAAACTTATCCAATCAAATGTGTATCTCGCTTATTATTGACGCCATCGCATAAATGCAGTTCGCCTTAGTATGTCAGTCAGTCAGATGCAACGTAGAACTTGGTACGTAAGTACATCAGTTCATGTTGCCATACCACATCAGCACAGAGATGTGATTGTCAAATCAAATCCAATAGTAGAAGAGATAGTAAAGGTATTAGAAGTAATCGGAGAGGTTAGGATTAGAAGATATTATTCAAGAAGTATGATTCTGTGAGAAAAGTTTACAAAGTCAAAACTAGAGGTGTCGACGAATCAAGAAGATTAGGGTTTGAGAGAACACAGAGAATAAATGCACCGGCGCCATTGCAAACGGTTTTGAGCCATGTCATTCAGTGTCTCTAACCATCGATTATTATCATCTCGCGGACCTCAACCAGGTAGTCGAAAATTACCGACATGACTCAATCCACTCGTCAATGGCTCTATGGATTTCTGCCATGTTTTGGTTTGGTTGCCCCTAGGCTTTCTTTCAACCTACTCCTACACTACAAAACAAAGCTCAACGAGGCAGTTGTTGGTTAAGCATACGCAGCACATGTCCCAACCACCTCAACTGATGAAGTTTCATTACTTCATCTATTGATCTGCCATTCTTACCTAGCACCCGATTCCTAATAACAGCGTTGCTCACTCGGGTGTCCCAGGATATACGAGGAATGCTTCGAAGACACCTATGATCGAAAACCAGTAATCTACGAATATCTTCTACTCTCACTGGCCATGTTTCACAGCCATAAAGTAAGACGGAGCGCTTAGTATGTATAAGCTGGGATTGAAGGAGAGATTTATTCCACTGCATATTTAGTTGTTGGGAGTTTGGTCGCGGATCACTCAAGTAGTGAGCTTTAATTCGAGTCTAAAGCAATCTAATCTCAAATTGGTGATCCCGAGGATGCACATAACACAGACGCTATATATATTCTTCAATCTCATTCTTTATTTTTACTGTTTTTCAGTTTTTCGTAAATGTCTACAACACAAAATGGCTCCTTCATCTTCACCATCACCTTCGCCCACATCGACAAAGACGCCGGTGTCACCACCGACCAAGACTCCGCCGTCATCGTCATCGTTAGAAGAATCAATTAATAATGATTGGCCAACTTATCAACAACATATATTATCACGTCGTTATTTACCATTCATTATAAAGATGAATAATTCTTCTATTCAATGTAATCATTTAATGAAGAAACAATCAAATTTGCTGAATTATTTAATGCCTTATTCACATAAACATCATATTTTAAAATTATTTGAAGCTATTGAACAACAACCAATGAAAGGTTTTATTGATATTATTTTGTAAAAAAAATTATTATTTTATTTTTATTTTTATTTTAAATTTTTTAATTTTTTTTAAAAAAAGAAAATAAAACAATTTGTTTTTATTGTAATTGTTGAAGAGAAAAAAAAGTTAAAATATCATTTTAATAAAGAGAGAGGGTTGTGTTTCTTTATTTTATTTTATTTTGAAAATGCTATGATAGAGAGAGAAGTATTGAGTACTTTTGTTGTTGTGGTTGGGACACATGTGTTACGTATGCCTAACCACTGATTACCTCGTCGATGTATGAACAGGTTGGAAGAAAGCGAGGGGCGGCCAGACCAAAAACATGGCATAAATCCATGAAGTCACTGACAAGTGGACGTAGTCATGTTTGTAGATGTAGGCTACCTGGTTAGGGTCCGCAAGACGAAAATCACCAATGGTTAGAGATCTTGAACAACGACATGGCTCAAAATCGTTTGCAATCGCGTAGGTGCATCCACTCTTTGTGTTCCATGAAATTCTAACCTTCTGCATTCCTCATAATCTCTACCTTTCTCCTTACAAATTTATCTCACTGAATTATACTTTTCGAATCATATCTTCGCTCCCTAATCTCCTCCATTGCTGCTAATAATTCTACTATCGCTATCAATCTGACAGTTGCGTCTCTGTGCTAATGTGGTATGGCAACCTAAACTGATGTACGTACGTACGAATTTCTGCGTTGTATCTGTCTGTCTGTCAGCTGGTAGCCTAATGCATTTCTGACGGAATTTCTTTTGTTTTTGAAAGTTGATTATCTGATCTGTTTCCAAAAGTCAATCTATAATGCCATTCCATGTTAATTAAATTCAACTGATTAATGTTGGACATCTATGAGAAACCTGGAACGATTGGACTGTCGTTTCATCCTAGTATTGGACTCACCATCAGTGCCTTGCACAGACACCCTCAGATGGTGGCTCGATGTTCAAAATGTAAACCGTTCTTACGCGAGATTGAAGGTCACAGGTCCGAATCCCACCTATGGTGTCACAAATACCACTGCCAGTGAGTTCCACATTAGGACGAAATTTCCGACTTGTGCTTCTAGGTGTCCAATGGTGATCTGACATTAATCAACTCAATTTCAACCAAACACAGTTATCTGTACAACCCTATACTCATATTCTACCTTATTATTATTGATATAAAAACCGTACACGGTCTAGAAATAGTATTATTGAAGTCCAGCGAATCCGAGGTATTTTGCGTTGTCAACTGATGGATTTAGTAGTTTTTCCAGTTTCCGCCGCATATAGTAGAACTGTTTCGACATTTGTATTGAAAATTGTGACTTTGGTGTTTGTTGACAAATGTTTCGAGTTCCAGATGTTGTTCTCCTACGCCTGCACTTAATCACGTCAACTTGTTATGCTTAAACTATTACGAGTTTACCTAGTCGGAAAACGAAAGCAAGGATCCGGTGACACGACATGCTATTCAAATCTGATTATTCCAGCCCCCCATAATGAGTAAAAATAAGAAGACATGAAATGAAGCAGAACCAGTATTCTTCCACCATCCCAAAGTACGAGGTCCGAGTCCAGAAGAGAATTAGGACCCTGGATTTGGGATCCGGGTCGTGGTCATAAAACGTTACAGATAATGCGTATTTATACATTTCGGTCGAATAGGAAACAGCATCGAATTCTGTGGCATTGACAGTTAAGACGACCAATAGGGAGCAACATTCGTAGTGACATTGATAGTCAGGACAACCAATAAGAAACAACACTGGAGCACGTGACATTGATATCTAGGACGACCATAAAATTGACCAGTAGGAATTGACCAATAATTCTATTAGGATATTGGATGAATATCCTAACATGTAGCCCTTGATTTGCCGATCTCCGCCTACACATCAGATCTATTTTTGTTGTCAATGATAGTATACGCATCAGTAAAGTGGTTTACACGATATACTGAGGATCCATTGACCAGCAACTATCAACGAAAAATGGGCGAGAAAAAACCAGCTTTCAGATGTAAAGGAAATTAGGGGAACACTGCTGGAGGTGGATAAGATACACATTATGGAAATCACCCGTGGAAGAACAAAACAGCAATTATTGTACCTAAAACTGGTTATGACTTAAGTCTGCCTGTTGTTGTCTACCTAGATATGAACACTGAACGTGTTTTGTTTTTAATATCTAGTGAAAATTTACATATATTATTCCGTAGGTAACGAGGTTGCCAAGAAAAATAAACGATTTCGGCATTACGTACACCGACTAGTATAACCAGATAAATTTTCACATAGATTATGTTGTAGCATATTTCATTACACATGTTCTTCATTGCTTTCTTTGCGCTTATCAGTGATATTTCAAATGTATGTTACTGTTTATTTACGAAGTGAACCTCTAATACGAATTCAAATAAAAAGTTTAGTTAAAAAAAATTAGTCTACTTATAAGTAGTATAACCTGTATACATAATATTTGAGACGAGGATTTCTAGCATTTACATTTTGGCTTTTATGATTTTATTTGAAAAAATTGAAATTTCAGGAAACTTCACATTCGCTTATTCTTATTTGTGTTTTCTTAATGGAGAATACTACTTTCAAGAATGATTGTGCTGTATCAGTTGCTAAAATACCTACATTTCAACTAGTAACGTAATTGATGCCATGTTTTGTCATTTGTTGTCCTGCATGAAAATGTGATATGAGGCTTAGTAGATAAACCTGTAAACTAGTTAGTTACATGGAGTTATGCATCGAGAATCCTTAAATTAAACAGTAAAGTTTGTTTGAAATTATTGGTAACACTATATAACCGAGTGTACGTTACATCATTCTATAGTGAAATGATACACTTCTGACGTCACCTCTCATCGCATCTATGAACTAACATGAATCTCTAGTGAAACTGAATTCCATGAGATAATTTAGCCTAAAACGCTTTGAGCAACATATGGAATTTTTCACTAAGTCATGAATGAAACGAAACGGCTTATTAAAGTATAGGTTAGAAAGTGATAACTGAAATGCGATTAGTCCGAATGTAACAAAGTGACTAAATCACTACAGCTTCATACATGAATCGCATGAGAAATTAGTGGCACTGATTCTTATTTACGAAATTTAGGTTTGTGTACAGAGCTTCATATTACACTTTCATGCAGCAAACCCCTGATGACACACTATGGCATCATGTACGGAAGTATGTGACGTGATGATAGAACATGTTACTTACTGGTTGAAATCTAAGCATTTCAAGTAAAAATCAATTACAAATAAAAATTAGCAAATGGAAAAATTTCATGAAATTTCAATTGTTTTCAAATAAACTACTAAAATAGAATTATACTACTTACAAATAACTTCATTAGTTCGAGTGTTTGTACGAAAAACGTTTCAAATAATAGTTTGTATAATTAGCAATTATTTTTCTGACCAAAACATATAAACGTCCTTGGAGTAAACACCAATGTACATCAGGCATGAGGAAACACTACTACTCTATGTCTAACGGCCTGCTCCGATACCAACGAGCCCTGATCGCAAATAAAGATCACCTACTAATCCTTGATTCTTCAGTATATTTCAAATAATCCTTTATTTAACTGTATACAAAACCGGACCAAATCTCGCTTAATAAATAGAAAATAACAATGATACATAAATATGTCAAAAAGGGCTGTGAGTAAAAGTAACACAAAATAAACACTCAACATTGTAGGAATGCATTTCATCATAGAGTTATGGAGGTTGTTTTTAATTATTCAAGCTATGAATCAATCATCGTTAGTACACTATTAGAAACCTAGGTATTTCTGGATAACCGTTTCGACCTGGTGGGGGACTCATCAGCTGTGTCTACCCACGACTCCTGCTGCTTTCATGATCCAAACTCAGGAGCTTTGGCCTTGCGTATGAATGCCTAACTTCTGAACTAGTGAACCGGCCGACAACCAACGGTATTGATGACGTGACCAGTTGTTGGCAGTAACTACCGAAGACAAGTGGATGAGGTCATGTAGAATCCTGAGACTGATCAGAGTTAGACATTAACACCGTTGGATGCCGGTTGGCTGAGTAGTTTAGAAGTAAAGCATTCCTGCGCAAGATGAAACGCCCCGGGTTTGAATCCTGTGAGTAACAGGAATCGCGGATATGCACTGCTGATGAATCCCATACCGAGACGAAACGGCCATCCAGTGCTTCTAGGTTTCTAATGGTGGTCTAACAATCATTGATTCATGATTTTTCAGTAATATAGAAATAGTCAATTGTATGAGATAACTTCTTCATGGGTTAATAAAAAGGGAATATAATAATGAACTTGATAATCTATAGTTACTGAATAGTTTATTATACAATAACACTATGTATCCAACAGGAAATTGGTTGCCTAAGTTACTATTTTTCTTGAATCTTCAATTTCGATATTTTGATATTTTTCTATTCATTATTATTTTTTCCTATGATTATTTCTATTATTTTTTGTGAGATAGGATTGTAGATATGAAAAGATAATTTTTGTTTGATAAAGGCGCACCTGTGAATTCAATGTTTCAATAATAATTTTTTTCGCTAAAATTTAATCAAAGCAATAAATCAATACAAGTGGTAGAAAAAACAGAACAATCGATCTGATGAATCCCCAAAATTTGGATGAATTGTTCCATTCTGTGGATTTCATTGTTAACCATCATTCATCTCTTTAACTTGCTTACTTACTTACTTACGCCTGTTACCCCCAATCGAGCATAGGCCGCCCACCAGTTTTCTCCAACCAACTCTGTCCTGGGCTTCCTTCTCCAGTTCTGTCCAATGTTTGTTCATTCCTCTCATATCTTTCTCTATTTCTCGGCGTAGTGTGTTCTTTGGGCTTCCTCTTTTCCTTTTGCCTTAAGGGTTCCATGTGAGGACTTGTCTTGTGACGCAGTCAGGTGCTTTTCGTAGTGTGTGTTCTATCCACTTCCACCACTTCTTCCTGATTTCCTCCTCCACTGAACGAATCTGGTTTGTTCTCTCCCAC